GGAACACTGAGATTAAACAAATGCTGAATGAAATGATTGCAAATATAATACTTATATGCAATAAATATTTATAAGAGATATTTTATTATTTCAGTTATATATCTGTCTGGAAAATCAATCAGCTTACAAGCGGGTTTTTGGTTTTTGATCTGAGGGAAATTTCATAGCGATCGCTTTAAGAAGAGATTCAAAGCGATTGTTCACTTTAGCGATTTCGCGGCAAAAAAACCATTGGTTTGGTTTGATTATGGCTAAGCACTAGAGGGCTATATGACTAAGGAGACGGATGTCTTCGTGGATGACTTTCTAAGGGAAAGTCCCGGTCTAAGTCGTTTTCTTTTTTCTTGCATACACATTGCGAGCCAGTTTCACTCGGCCTCTGGTGAACCGCAAAAAACGATATTCCTGTAGTAATTTCACAGTAGTCTCTCCTACAGTAGGCGAATATCGCAAGCGGATATTTTAAAATTTGAGTTTAAGACAAATACGATTTGTTGATAAAAACTCTTGGAGATTGGAATACTGAAAAAATAGCGCATACAAAAAAAAATGTTGTTGCTTATTAAACAGAACTGTTATACGCAGGGTAGAGTTCAGTGCATTCTAAAAAATGGCGACTTCTTTTAAGGTCGTTGCTTAACGTTGCACACGTAAGCACCATTATCCATTCATTACTAGCGTCTAGTGAATGGCCATACTGATCTCCAGCTTAGATTTCTTACAGTATAAGAATACGTCAAATACACCATCAGATAGATCACGAATGGATGAATAACATAACCAAAACTCTACCAACATAAAGCGCTAAGGCTCACCGAATTCGATGAAAACCCGCTATCTGTTCAAAATTTCTTTGAAAAACATCACAATTTAAAAGACTTCTAGTATTTTCCTGCACTATAACCGAAACATGCATTACATGCGAATAAATGCACTACACGCGAATTTCGTTAAATAAGTTTGCCATGGCATGAATATTTTATATATATATTAGTGCAAGGGATAGCAACAGGCGCTCAATAGCAGTGAGGGATGCGTTCAGCAAAAGATTTGGTGATATGTTAGGTAATTTGAATATAATGAAGCATATGGGAATTACCTGGCTAGGGCGAGGAATGCTTTCATAGAGAACATTCTAAAGGAAATTGGCTCATGTTCTCTGTACGTACGGAAAAACTAACTATGCAGCCAGCCCATTCGTCTGAGATCGAGCCCAGGTCGAGATTCCAGCATTCAACGGTTTTAACCACTCTCACTAGTTGCACATAAGGTATGGTGATACAGAAGGCCTCAATAGCTCCAGATAAAACTAAGTTTTACAATCGGAAGAGTGACAAAGTAACTCAGATTTAGAAATGTTTTGTTTGTGATATTCATCCACATATTTTAACGCATTGCGAAATTTTCACAATGTGACTTTGCAAAATTCTTGCTACATTAATTTAATTACCGTTTCACAATTACCATATAATAAACAATCATACGATTTAAATTAGTTATAGTTAAAACATCCATTGGGAGTTTTGGTACTTGAAATTTTCTCGCCAGATCTTCAACAGAATAGAGTTCACAAAGATCGGCTTCAAAGTCGATTCTGCTTGCTGCTAAAATATTCCACAATAACTTGTGCAACTAACATTCCAAGTTCCACTGGCATTAGCAGGCCGTAGTTGGAATATGAAGTATGAAAACACGTGTATGTTCATAATGATTGGAACAAACTTAGGAAAAAAAGAAATGGCAGTCTTAAATTAACTGCTCATTCCGTTTAACAAAATATTACATATAATATGCGGCCGTTAAAAGTGCGATGTGTCTCACATTAAAATCAACAAAAATTAGTATGACGTGGATTTAGTGGATTATGACTATCTGCTCAAGGTAAAGGTAAGGTTTGGTTTAATGGCAAAGCATGCGAATGCGTCTGTTTAAAAGAAAGGATACATTCGGAGAGGTATTTCTATATATGGAGAAAACCATTAAGATGAATTCACACATTCGCAGGTATTTCAGTCCGGGCCGAATTATCCGTTTTCAATGGTCTTGACCGCTCGGCCCTTGGAGAGCGCTAAAAGATATATATATATATATATATATATATATTCGTGTAATATTTTCTTAGGAAAAATTGGTTTGGAATTCACTTTATTTATGAAAACTCATTTTCTGCCTAGCACATAGCTGAGATCTGAACCTGAGTCGAACTACCAGCATTCAGTGGTCTTACTTATTCGGCTATTAGGGGCTACCATAAAATGAATTATGCGTCTCGAAAACCTAGTATGAACACGTTTTTGGCTGTTAGGAGGCGTGAGAAAGGAATGTTCAAAAGTATTTATTGTTAAATTAAAAATTTAGTTCCGTTATTTTGGTACAGGAAACATCCCATTTATAAAACTATCGCAACATTTTCCCGTTCTCTTTCATAGATTACGTCGAAAGATACATTTTTTTCAATAGCGAAAGGTCATCTCTCGTTTCTCCGAAAAAACATTTGTCTACGATGCATATCCTGACTTTTACTGATGTTAGATCTGTTTTATGTACATATTATGTTCTTATTCATGCTGATATACATATATATTTTAAATATAGTCAAATAACTAACATCTGTCTTTTGTAATTTAGAAGTTTCTTAAAATATATATATATATATACATTTAAAAAAAAACACACTTTACATTTCAAAGTTAGATTAACATAAGATTAAATAACTAAGAATACTCATTAATTATGCGCTTGAACGGTTTTTTAAGATGCTTGACCTTCCGTTCAGTATCTTAGATGCAAGAACTGTGAGGTACCTGCCTGCAAAGTACTTATGTACCTGTCGCATAGCAAAAACCCAGCAGATTCTACTTAAAATGGAAGTGAACTAGCTGAAGTATTAATGGATTCCAATTTGTTGTGGCACTACAAACACCAATATACAGAATTCTGTGAGGAAATTTAACTTTCATCCAAGTAATTTGTAATGAAAGAATGAATTGGGTATTTTGCGGTATATAACAAAAAAATTTTAGCGTACGCATACCAATTTAGTAGTGAAATATTTGTGCCTTCTAACTGTAGGTTTTATTGTTATCCGTATTCGAAAGAGATCTGTTAACTGCAGCTATTGTTTTTAATGGTATTTCAAAATTTTGTACTTTTTCAAACAGTTAATATTTAATGTAGATAATCATAATTGAGTTGCTTTTAAATCATGCCGTGATTTATAATATTTAAGCAAGGCTTACACCTGGTTATGGTGCCTCGTTCACTTCACAATCCAAAAACTTAAATATATTAAATCTTTCAGTGAGGACTTTATTATGGCGATTGCTGAGAGAATTTAGGTTAGGGGCAAATTTGTCGAAACTGATTTTTTTTAATAACCAATAGTTTTTTAACGTAATAAATAAAAGACATTGGAATTCACTCATCGATATTGGCAATATAGTCTGCGCACCCTCTGGCTACGAGTTTGCTGTATTTTCTTAATTAATTGATCAACTGTTTATCTGCTAACATTTTCTTCTCGGAGAAAGTTGTATTACGATTTATTACATAAATTAGCAATCACCTGAGGATAGAAATTAAGAAATTATATTGGTGTAAAAATTCTATCCCAAAATAGTTTAACAAAATGCATAATTTAGTTTTAATATTTCAGCATAAAAATTTAATCTTAAATCCAACTTTATTATATTTAAACAGTCAGTCGCCGAAGATTATTGGAATGCAGTTCTTCATATTAAAACGTATGTTATTGTTAAGAGCAATGTATTCAGTTTTGACCTCCTAAAATTGTCCTTAATGATGCTCATACATATTGTACAACTGTTCGTTTGGTATGTAATGTTCTACCATTATTAGAGAAAACTTTCAAATCAGAAACATTTGCATATTCTTAAATTACAGTTAAAAATTGAATTTATCAATAGTCTTTAAACGTAGTATTTTAAGACTTTTTTATTAAATTATTTTAACCTATAATCATACTCAGAATGAGGCAGTTTCACTGTAATGCTTGAGGTGTCACAGTAACACCATAATCAGTGATTACCACTAACATAAGAGATTAACAAAATAGAGAATATATTTTTTTCATTTAGCACTCAAGTCATTATTAGCATAATATAAAATTAGAAGAAAATATATTGTTACTCAACAGCATTACAAATTTAACATCTTAATACATTTACTCATATCAACTGCATATCTAAAGCATAGTACATTTCATGCCTAACAAAGACATTGCTCTTTGTGGTGCACTGATGTTTAGATTCATTGATGTAGAACAGCATTTTTGAAAAACTTACTCGGTGGGCTTACCTAAACTCTTAGAGGAAATCTTACAATTTCGCTAAGTGGACTTAAAATTTTTACGAACATTCAGCGATTTAGATTAAGATAAAATCGGAAATACGTATATAATGCGAAACAAAACTTATTTGACATACTTTTAAGTATTTTGAATATTAAATATTACACTTAAGTTTTAAAATATTTTACAAGTACCCCTGCATAGTCGCAGACTTATTAGAGCTTACAACTAATATGTTTTGAAATACAATTCAAATAGAATCCATATTTTTAAGGGAAAATTATGTATACGCATTTATGTTAACTTCGAAATAAGTTACAATTAAAATAATCTTTCATAATGAAATTCAGGAAAGAATTTTTAGAGACAGTTCTTTCATGATGAGTATTATCTAACACAGATTTCATTTTGCTTAAGCTGGAACTTGAAGCACACACTGATGAAAAACGAAGTCACATTTTATAATTTGCCTCCTGAATATTATTTTTCTTGTTTGTTAAGGTGCTAATTCTGCTTAAGCTATAATTCTACACTAAAAGCTTTATGATTCCGCTTTTAAATTTCCCCTAAGATGTAATCTCATAATGAGCTCTTAAAATTGCTAAAAATGTGTGACTAACGTAAAGGTTTTATGTTTCTGAAGAAGTTAACGAGATGGAAAGCTGAGAAAAGCGGGAAATGATTGACTTACCTCTTGTGTTACATCCTCGAAGCGAAGGCTATGAAAAGTTATTTAAAATGAAAAAACAAACTTTGCTAAAGTGAAGTTCAGAACAGGTTTTACGCAATGCTTGAGCAGTTGATGACTGCAGAAGCGTATCATCACAGTTAAGTAAGTGAAGTAGAAGCGCTCCCGAACGTCACTGCAGCCAATTAAAGAACTCGTCTTCAGCCTAGGGTCAGAAATGACGTATGCAGTGTCCGTTCTTTCTTCTGTTTTTTTTTCTGGCGTTATCAGACATCATTTTATTTAATTTTATTTTCAAAATGTTAGAACGGAAGCGGAATGCGAAATGGGTGGTTTCACTTCCTTTTTTTTTCGGGGGGGGGAGAAAGCATGACAAGCGGCAGACGATAATTTTTCAGTCATTACGTTCACTTCTTTTTTTTGTTTCCGTTCTCCATTTAGTTTTGTTTTTAACCTTTTTGCCAGGTGGAATTGAGCAGTAAACCACAGATATATAATTTCTGTTGTCAAAATAACTGTTATTCTTTCGGACGATAATACCCCATTTTTGGAAAAACCAGCGCGTGAGTTTTGAATTTTGAGGTAAAGTTTTGGCGCCATGTTATTTTTTTCAGAATTTCCGCACGGAAAAGAAAGTTCTCGAAGGTAACAGCTCATAGTGCAGATAAATACTAGCAAATTGTCTGAAATTTTCTTGGAGAAAAACCTTTTCCAGAAAAGTTTCCCATCTAGAGCAAAACCACGCGAACGGAAATGCCTCATAATATAGGTGGCTAGACTGGCTTTTAAAGCTGTAAATGGAAATACATGAATATTTATTTATATTTTTCTTTCACTTTTCACAAGCACAGTGGTAAACTACAATCCAACAAATTGTTAAAGTCACTGAAAGTAATTCAGCCATGCTTTTGAAGGAAATAATAATCCAATAAAATACAAGCCCCCACCCAAAAAAATCTGAAAGTTTTCAGATTTTAAATTACGTCCAAAGGGGCGTCTTTTTATTGTTTTGTGTGTTACCTTTATTTATCAAATATCATGCGCTTAAACCATAAAATTCAGTTCAGTAGCAATGTCGCAAAATAATTTTAAAATGAGCATATCTTTAGATTTTCCGATACACAGTTCCGCGCAGCTGGCGATAAAAAGGTTCCCCTCCCCCCCTCCGTAGAATGTTACTATTGCTTGCTTTTAAATCGTTGAGTTTATTACTCAAATTTCGTTAAAGGTTTAAAAATATTAATTCGATAAGAAAACAAATTCCAAATTTCAAATTTGATCTTCCACATGCTCATATTCACAGGAAGATTACGTCATTCAAAATTCTATGGCTCTATGTACCGTTGTTTTATCACAATGCGAGAAATATACATACATTTATGCAGATTTTTCATTATTTAATTTCTTCAAGCATAATGCAGGACTCTAATATTCGGTGGCAACAGTTTGAAAAGTGAAATGGACATTTATAGTGATTCAACGCAAAATCGCAAAACGAAAACAATAGTCTTTCAGGGACAAAGCCCCTTTGGACTAAAAAACAAATTACAACGAATTTATTAAAAGAAATTTTTTGACCTTCTGATTAGAAGGTTAAAAATTTCCTTTACCGCTAGATCTATAATATGAATCGCAGTCAAAACTGTATTCATATCACAGCTGTACCTAGCATTTAATGTTTTAAGGGGTCACATCTTTTGCAAAAACCCCTGCCCCTCAAAAAAAATTGAAACTTTAAAAAATATTTTTGTATTAAAATAACTATTTCGAAGCAAACTGCATGCAAAAATTCGGTTTAGAATCAAAGCTATGGTAAAGCCCTTTCAATTTTTTTCCATTTAAAGAGTACGGTAGCTTGTTTCGCATTTTAATGAACGACTGAGAGCTTAAAAGTTTTGTTTGAACTTTTTGTTCTAGAATTTACTGCGTTGTAATTCTGATCTCTATTTTTTTGTCAGAGGAAACTGTAACTTATGAATTCCTGCACGATACCATTTGTTCAAAGAGCTTGAACTCTCTGCAAGAATTCATCAATCGTAGTAGCTGGCGAGTAATGCGCTGCCATTGTCTCGGCAACTCATGACCAGATGTTCTAAGTGAGAAAGAGATCTGGACAACCTGCTGGTCAGGTCACCAGTTGGGTACGCTCTGTATAAAGGAAGGTCAAAACAAAACGAGTGAATGCTTGTAACTATGAATGTCTGTAAATGTATAAATGTCTGCGCAGCAAGAGGGCACTCAAAATACACTGCAAGTCGAAAGTCTTCTCGAGTGACTGGAGGTAGAAAAAGGTGTGGGAGACCACCAGACCGTCTCCGGTGTGTTTTCCATCAAAATTGGAGTGGAGCTGAACAGTTAACGAAGCTCGGGGATACCTTATGTACCTCCAGAAACGCACTTGTGTGACCTTGCTTTAACCTGCACCTGCCAGCGTATATTCGCCTGGCAGTCATGGGATTCTGACCAACACGAGCAGTAATGTCGTTTGACGGTAAACGGCTGTAGCGGTTGCAATAGTGTAGCGTTTGCTACATAATAAACGTTATTTTTCTGTGTTAAGAATAACTTTACGCTACTAAATTTAAAAGAAAACAATTTATTATTCACATTTAAAGACGTTCTTTTATATATATATATAAAAAAAAAAAAAAAAAAAAAAAAAAAAAAAAAAACATTATTCTACGACTATTTTTGTTCCTGCTGTTGCCACTAACAGTCTGTATACGGTTGTACAAAAGAAAAATATTATATATGATTTGCCATCCCGATAGGCCACGATTCTGCCACGGTCGATTTTCGAAACGTGCTGGCAGGAGTTTCTCCTTCTTACACGAGGCAAAACATGAACTTTACATAATCAACCTTGAAATGCTGTTTTCAAACGAGAGACCCGGTATGCGGTCTTACCATTTATACACAGAATAGATAGCATTACTCACCTTACCAGCAGTGTATGGCAAGCAGTGTATTAAAATTTCATTAAAATGTGATTTTACTGCTTGCGTGCATGATTTCTCTGGACTGCCTGATTAGAATTTCGTGTGTAAGCGTTATATCTGTATAAATTGACAAAGCGTCTGACGTAAGAAATTTTGGAATAGTTATTAAATTTCAAGTCATATAAAGATTTCTATTCCTCACTTTTTATTAGTTAAGTTGTAATTATGATCACTATGCAATACTGTTTTCTATATCAATATTAAGAAAATAATGTTTCGCAAAATTATAATTTCCCTGCTTGGGCTCTCGTGATTCTTTGAAACCGTCGGTCAGAATTTCAAGAAATTTTGATAACTTGTATAAATCATAAATAGGAGTAAAATAACTAATTATCATGTTTCTCAAATAAAAATTTCAGAAACTACGTTTAATTTTGTATTAAAAATGTATTCGATTTAGTAATATTTTCTCTCACCTCTCACTTCGTGAGGTCCAGGCAAAGGCATTGCTCATTCTTCACTTTTCCTACTTAAAAAAACCGCTAATGACGCCCGAACTAAAAGGTGGTGGATGATGATTCTTCATCACCAGGATCTGGCGAATGGGTCTCCTAATACCCAGTCGTCCTTTGTGAGGGGTGTCGCCCTTTAATGCTCCGCACACTGCATAGTATATTCATTATTTTCTCCACTCGAGTATTTTTTCTGCTAACTTTTGTGCTAAGGGAAAATTCTGAAAACCTTTTAAATATTCATGCAATTTTCCTCTTCCTGAATGGAAGCCCACCAGCGGCCAAGCGGTAAAGTCGCTGAACACTGGTAGTTCGGTCCGAGGTTCGAATCCCGCGAACGGGCTAGCTGCATGGGTGTTTTCGTGGATTTCCCTATGTGTAACGTGTATACGACCCAGTTTCCCTTAGAAAATCTTCCACGGAGCCATCTCTCCTCTCAGGCAGATAGCCCTAGTGTGCTTTGCCATAATTAAATACACCATACACCCCTTCTTGAATGCGTTTGGAAGCGAGCACCTTCAAATATTAAAAAATGGATTCATCCGCGTAGTGGTTATTTTCATCTTACTTACTGATTTTTCTTATGGATGTTGGGTGCGTGGGCTCTGATCGGTAAAGCAATGGCAATGAAGAGTTTCACGAAAATGGCGATATCTAATACTCTTAATAGATCTGAAGATCATAACGTGTGGAAGAAAGTGAGCAATAACGAAGACGATGCCAAAGTGATGATGGCGACGAATTGCAAGCTGTAACAAAAGACAAAGCCAGCAGTTCCTGCAGCATTGAATGATTTGAAGCTAAGGAAGTAGTGGTGAACAACAGTAAGAGCGAACGAGATTCAAGGTACTAAGGAAGTAGAAATGAAGATACCCGATTAGACACTATAATGTTAATATTGTTACCTAATCTGACTGAAACGTAAGTTTCTTTTAAATTAATAATATCGTCATAATTACTGACAATTTATCCATCAGTATTTCCACTTGTTATGCTCTTTATGTAAACGCTGTCTTTTTGGAACTACATATAACTGATCGTTTTTGGATTATAGTTTCAGTATTATAGTTTTATAACGAAGATGGGGATATTTTGTTTAAAATATTTGAATATCTGCATAGTAAAATATAAACAAAGCATGTAGCATCAACGGCATAAAAAAAAGGATATAAAATTTCATCATCGTAAACAGGATAGTTATGAAGGCATTATAACTTAAAATGTGCTATATTTTTGTCATATTTCGACACTGTAAAGTCACCTGACTTCTTAAAGTACCCTTTCTTTTCGGCATGTTGGGTACAGGATCTGATTATCGCTTAGGTTCAGAAGACTCGGACTTAAATCTGCAAGTTTTAGTGAACCCCAGAATCATTCTTTATTTTCTTATCATCAATTAGTTTGTACCTTTCTTTAAAAACACGAGTAAAATTTTCCTTGGGGATCCTCTGAAAAGGAACTATGCATCAAGCTCCAATAAAATTCGCTTAAAGTTTTTAAGATTTTTCATTATATATCTTCAAAAAATGAAGTTAGATTCTTTAAACTACTTTAACAAAACATTAAAATAAAAATATATTTTATTTATCTGTTCTTATGTTATGTTTATCTGTTCGATGTGGTCGAGCCCCATCTTGCATGAACCAGTCAATACCTGGTCGATTCTCCAACGCTAGCTGAATGCTGACAAATTGTTCCGAAATTGTAACGTAACGTTCAGTA